GGTCTAGAAGTGGAGAAGACACACAGCAGCACAGGGCTGGTGCCCTGGCTTTCCCTAAGGCCTGTGGGCAAGCTGATGGAGGCTGAGCTGGGTAGAAGTGTCATGCCCAAGCTTCACATCCAAGTAACACTGCTGCTGTGTGATGGAGCATGCACAATATCAGTATTTGTACACAAACTTCCTATTGAGAATATTTTAAAGATACTAAAAATTAAAACAAAAACTCACTGTGGAAAGACCCAAGTGCAGAAGTATCCTCATGAAATTTGGAAAGAGTGATCTGGACAAGGTAAAGATATTGAAAAGCCCTGGTTTTGCCAGCAATAACACCATAAGCAGGACTGCCAAGTGTTAGAAATGCAGAATGATAATTTTTGTCTAGTTTTCAGACTAGAAAACCAATTTTAAACTGGATCTTGGAACCCATGGGAAGCTTTCAATGGTGCTCATTATGTGATAATGATGTACTTAAGAAGTGATGTGCTTAAGCCACCTTAAAAAGGCCACAAATGTCTTGTGAAACAGGATACCCTTTGTATAACCAAAGCATGCCTTGCTAAGGGCTGTGGCCCCGAAGAACTACTAAAAGACTGATAAGGGAACTATCCTACCCAAGGAGGCACAGAGAAGTTGAATAATTGCCAATAGGCATGGGGTCAGCAAAGATCTTCGGTAACTGGAGGAAAAGTAAGGCAGCAGAGGGAGATCGCGACCCACCGACTCAATTCCAGACCAAAAAGACTTACACCCCCCCACACACACCTTGAGCATGTGCTGTAGAATAAAAGAACACTGCACCTTTAATTCGAAGCAGGGAAACTTCAGCCCAATAGAAACTGCGGTAGATAAGCGACTACCAGTAAATGTTTGGGGAAAGAACTTTGGAAACTAAATATGTAAATCTAAACTGTATAAATTGCTTGCCCGTCGAGGTATAAGGTGTGCTAGCTTTGTGGATGTCCCCCTAACCCCCATCTTTGCACAAACATGAATGGGAATAAAATACCTCTGCTCTGTGTGTATATTGGCATTTTGCACACCAGGTAAAACAACCCCACTTTTGGGACAACAATAATGCAGGTAATGTGTCTACGCTTCTTCCTAAAGCTGGAAGCTGACACCAGCCCTCCTGCACAAGGGAAGACATCCCAGCTGAAGCAACAGACAACTTGAGCAAGGAGCATCACCTCAGGTGACCCATTTCTTGTGCATGGCTTTTCCAGAGTTGAGAAAGGTGAAGGATTTGAAGGGGAAATTCTCACTGGAACTGCTCAGCAGTGATAACTTGTGACTGAGGAGTGATCTGGCATGGAGGGCAAAGAGGCCCAGCTGCAAGAAGCGGTTAAACTGACTGAAAGCAGGAATGCCAGAGACAGAAGGGAGTGAAGTTTCCCTTGGTGCTGAAATAAGAAACAGCCACAGCATTGGCTTGTAGCCATCCTGGAATGGGAGGCTCATGGGCCACCTTTGGGCAGCAGGGCTGGGCTGGGGGATGGACCCAGGGCCAGGCTGAGGCTCGTGACACTTCTTGGCAGACTTCATGCAGAACCACATATTGCACTAGGACTCTGCCCAGTGCGTTGTTCAATAATTTTTTTATATATATTAAAGCACAAACGTGTTGAATTCACCTCAAGGGGTGCCATAAAAATTCCCCAACAGATTGATCCAGCTATGCGGAAAAGACAACTCTTGCCCTGCCTTGCTAGGCTTTTACAATAAGGGATCTGCTCCAGCACGGGCTTCCCACGGGGTCACAGCCTCCTTTGGGCATCCCCCTGCTCCAGCACAGAGTCCTCCCCAGGCTGCATGTGGAGATCTGCTCCCCCACAGACCTCCCTGGGCTGCAGGGGGACAGCCTGCCTCACCATGGTCTTCCTCATGGGCTGCAGGGGAATCTCTGCTCCGGTGCCTGGAGCACCTCCTCCCCCTCCTTCTCTGACCTGGCGGTCTCCAGGGCTATTTTTCCTCACATGTTCTCTCTCCAGCTGCAGTTCCTGTATCCCAGCAACTTTTTTTTCCCCTTCTTAAATACATTATCCCAGAAGCACTGCCACTATCACTGATGGGCTCAGCCTTGGCCAGCAGCAGGTCCGTCTTGGAGCTGGCAGGAATTGGCTCTGTCAGACATGGGGGAAGCTTCTAGCAGCTTCTCACAGAAGCCAGCCCTGTAGCCCCCTGCTACCAAAACCTTGCCACGCAAACCCAACACAGTACATAATCCTCCTACTTTCAGAGCACAGCCCTTGTGAGCAGATCCCCCCTAATCCCTTGACACACATCCCACTCAACCAGGCACATCTGCTCAGCAGTCTTACCCCACTCATCTCCTTGTTCCAGGGCACAATCAGCAGTGTGAGATAGAAAAGACTTTTCTCTGATGTTCACTGCAGCGTATTTAATGCTCCACTACAAAACCAGAAAAGCACTAGCAGGTTTCCCAGGGAGAAGCATGACTCAGGGTGCACCCTGACACACAGCCTTTGGGACAGTGCTCCCAGCTTGGGGGGACACAGGGTCACACTCTCCCAGATACTGCTCTGGTCTCTCCAAGAGGCAAATAGTTACAGCTGTGCCAAACCAGGCTAATGCTGGTGCATCGAGTGCAGCTGATTCAGATTTGTGCTGCTGGCAGAGAAGAGGAATTGGCACCTCAGGGGAAGGTTGGCAAGAGGCAGGTTATTGGAGATGGCATCCTCTGAAGGATGAGCTGAGCTAATGAAAGAAGTGTACAAGTATTTCACTCTGAAGATTTATGTGGCTTGGTGGACTAGGCAACCTATAAAGAGAAAAG